ACCTCCTCACTTATATCTGAATTAACTTGTAAATACTAGGCTTAGTCTCAATCATCTGTGTCTCAACACTTGAAAAAAATCATAATATAACTTTATTGTGATAACATAAATCACTGACCTGAAAATCCGTAAATTCTTTAACACTTAAGTTTTAATCAAGTACAAATTTTAGTATACGATCAATATAATAACAGCGAAGCACAATAAGAATACGCAACTAGTTTCCGAATGAAGCAAATTAACAATGAATCCTTACCGTCAGCTAAAGAAAGTAAAGAGGAAAGTCAAAATATTACTAAAGGTAGCGTTCCGTTTAAGGTTGAAATACACTATAAATGTATCTGTAGAATTGTACCGACACTTTGCCTAAATAGGCTTTTGCTTAATGATAAGTTATCACGTAAATAGGTAACCTATTGTATTCCCTACAATGGCATTTCTTCTGGCTATCTGGGCAATACAAGAGGTTATTTTTTTTATTTAGGTATTTTAAAATAATCTTATTGTTCAGAGTATGCACAATAAAAACTCTTCTTGTTGCTTTGCAACACAAAATAAGTCAGCGAGTCAATGAGCTTCTATAGATATTTTGATAGGAGCATGTTGAGAAATGAAAGACTATAAACATATAACTCTATAGGGCTTAACTACTAACCCTATGTTGACTGGGGAAGGTTACTATCCTCTTGACCTTCTTAACTAAATCGAGGCTATCTTGTAAATCTCATTTTGACTAAATATACTATATTTCTCTTAGCCTCAATATCATTAATCACTGTCTCAATACTTAAAATTTTCATATATCTTTATTAGACATTACAAGCAATTATACAAATTACTGACCTGTTTTTCCGTGAGTTGTTTCGCACGTATCAAAAGTCAAGTACAGTTCTCAACAGAGTAATAAATATAACAACAGCAACGATCAAACGCAATAAGATATCAACGAAGCACAAACAACAAGGACTTTTACCATGCACAGCTTTCCTCGCGTTAGCTGGAAATTTACAACAACCTATAGGTAAACAAAAATTGCTTCACAAATATTTAATAAATGGCTTTGTAGCTAAAGAAAGCAGGAAACGTAGAAAAGGTCGAAGGATGCACTGCAGGAATGATTCTAAAGATAGCGCTTCAGAGAAAATATTCTAAAGAAACATTCCATTGAAGCCACATGTTGAAGGCTTTCTGCATTTTGCTTAAATAGAGTTCTACTTATTATTGTATCATTACATACATTGCCAGTCTTTCGTATTTTCTAAATGGTATTCCATTGCAGCCGTCCGGGTTATACAAAAAGTTTTATTAAATTACTTTCTTTTATGAATATTATTTAATACCTGTCCTGTTTTATGTATGTGCACTTGCAACACCTATTGTTGCTTTGCAACAGAGCAGAGTACTTTTGGAAGTCAATGAAAGGTGCCATTATTAAACAGTGTACTAATGAGTACTTTGAAATCAATTGTTGTCCTGGCCTTTTAAAATTTCCTAAACGGTTCTTCAGTCTCAAAGCTCAATGAATCACGGCACTTTCATTTATATGTGAGGACTTCGATGAGTCTGGCTAACAACTGCTATTCTAAACTTTATTGACAGATGATCTGAGATAAGATGAAATACAACGTAAACGGAAAGAGTATAATTTATATATACAAGGACCCAATATATAACAAGAAGGAACAAAATACCAATGCTAAAGTAATTCATAAAATGATGTCAATAAAATGTAGAGAAGAAAGCTGAGGTTCTTTGAGCTTGATGTCTTGTCCGACGTGGATATCGGAAGTCCCTTCTCAAATAGTGTCGAGAGAATATCTCCCCTTGTCTTGACGAGTCCTTTTATGTTGGTCCTCATATCAGATATCGCTAGTCCTTTATGATTATGGCCAGCAGATAACGACATGCAGATGTTTGCGATGTAATGCTGATAGCGATGTTGTGTCTACAATCAAGACATTACACCTTCAACTTTTTTGATCTCTCGCCTGGTTATTTTTTGACAATTCACAACGATTGTTCTTAGGAAACTTCTCGAGTGGCGAAAGTAACGAAGTAGATAACTCATTTGCCATTATTTACGCAACAATTGTCGATAAACTAAAAGAGGAAACCATTAGCTGACAACCTTCTATGTATAATGTCGAATCATTTTGAAACTTAGGAGCTATAGGCATGTGAGAGAATCTACTAGGAAAGGATGACGATAAAGCTCTTAAATTGTTCAAGGAATAAGTAAAGTTTCTGCAGGAAAGATATGAGGTAAGATAGTCGTGAAAGGAAAGTGAGCCAAAATTAGCCAATAATTTTGGGTTATGCATAGGCAGATTGATAAATTTGAAAAAAAGATTAGATTTGCAAAAAGAATTAATGAAGCGGTACAATGATATAATTCGAGAGCATAAAAAAGGGAATTATAGAAAAGGTGATTGAGAGAGGTGCAAGTAATAAGCTTCATTATTTACCTCATCGAGCAGTAATCAATTGGCATAAGGATACACTAAATTGTAAAAAATTATTACAAATTACAAAAAATTACCTAACCAACTTCTTACTTGAGTGCTTTAAATGAAATAAATGTTCGGCTTTTGATACCGTTTTTGAGATATCTCGTATAACTTTCTTCCCAGACTGAATGCCATGACTCAATTAATATTTATTTGAATTTCTTATAACTCTTCTTTTAACCAATTAGGACCGACTCACCATTTGGAACTTGATCTAAATTTTTTAATAGTGCACCTTTGTGTAGGTGAATCTGCTGGATTTTCAATGTCTGCAATATCTTAAAATACAATATTTTTATAGTTCCAAATTTCAGTTACTCTTGCTGCAACAATTCTTTATTTACGGTGTAGAGATAAAAAAGGCCATTATAAAAGTTATATCTTATGTGCCAAAACAAGACCAAATCCTTGTACAGAAATATCTATTACAAGGTTGGAACTCTCAGCAGTTTTAATAGAAGTAAGTGCTATAGAATTTGTTAGGAAGCAGACAACCCTGACTTTTCAATAGCGCATACTTTAGAGTGTTTCTAAGTGAGCACCTGACTGAGTTAAGTCAACGGAATTATTTCAGCTTTCCGCATACAAGTTGAATTTGCCGACCAAGATTATAGCATATGGTCGTAGAGGAGTTGTGCGCCAATTAACCTTGAATGGGCAGGCAACCAAAAATGAATTAATCATTAACTACAGAAGCAATTCAAAATTGGTAGAGACACTATCATATGCCTATATGATGAGGATTTAGTGAAAAGAACAAAAAAGGAAGACTATTCTGTATGGCAGAAACTTTATTTTTTAGCACTATTTGATAGGATACCCATGTTATTCTTGCAACTTACTTAAAAGGAATAAAGAAGCGACACAAGGGATCGGTTCAATACGGTTTAGAATGATATGGCAGCTCTGGCATGCTGATATGTACGCAGAAGATTGAAAGGGGCTTCGATTGTAATTTTATGTTACTACCAAGCTTCCAAAACCGACATCCTGGCCAGGTATAATGACATTTCAGTTTCCGCTGTAAATGAATTTTGGGGAAGAGGGGCCAAGATAACAATAATCGTCACAACTAGAACAGAAGCGAGGACAAACTCAGATGGCAGGCAGCATCAGTTTTTGTTTGACGAGCGAAGGACAACAGTGGCATTGTTCAGAGCTCAAGAAGAATTAAGTATTGTAGGTGATTGACCACTATCAGTAAGGTTTGCTTCTCAACAAAGATTCTTAACTTATTGTTCTTTTATACGAGTTGGAAATCAAGAATTCCAAAAAGCGGTTAGGGAAGTCATGTAAAAAAAAACTTTGTCATTATTTGTATATTACTTGCATAGTTTATATTTATATATTTTTCTATATTTTGCTTGTATATTTGAACGCAATTTATAACATATGTAAAATAACTAGGAAGAAAAGAAATTTAAACTGGAAGGTGAAGTCACTGCATTTTGCTTGAAAAAGAGGGTCTAGTATATGACTGTAAAGGTAATTAGTATGCCGAAATAAGTCAGATGAGTGGAAATGGTCAAGGCGATCCCAAGTGTTCGGCGGAAACCGCATAGCGGGAAGGGGTCTATTGAATCCAAATGATCTATAACTCCCCAGATATAACACTTTTGGCTTGAGGAGTATGTTGCAATGCAATAGTAGGTGTTGCAAAGCAAATACTTAAAACAATAGAAACTACCAAAGGCATTTATAAAATTAAAGAATTCTATAAAACCTTTTTTACGGCCCAGACGACTTCTATGGAATGGTATTCAGGGGATACAAAAAACTGGAAACATATGTAATTATAAATCAGTAAACAACGGCCTATTTGAGTAAAGTCCAGTGACAATGAGCCTTCCATATGCTTCCTTTGGGATTTTTCCTCCAGTGCGTCTTTCTGACCTTTCTTCCTTTAGTTTTCTTTCTTTCGCTGTCGAGCGATTCATCGTTGATACCCTTTGGTACAGTTTTTGTTCTAGTAGCTGGTTTCAAGCATCTTCCCGCTAACGCGAGGAAGAATTTGCATAAAAGGTATCAATGCTTTTTATTGTTTTACTTAAAGACTGTTGTTCAAAAAGGTTCCTCTATCGTTGTTTTATTTGCTATTTTTGTTACTTATTTGTATCTGACATTGCATAGATCTGTAGAGTAACTCACGGATTGTCAGGTCAGTTGTTTGTACTATTGTATATAAAGACTAATAAAATCATACCATTGTTTTTAAGTGTCAAGACAAGTGTTAATGAGACTGTGTTTAGGGTAAGCTTGGAGAATTTGCAGTAGATTAAAAGGCAATTTGAACATAAGTAAAAAGGTGAAATAGACGACCTTCCTCTTCAGTATTAGAGTCGCCAATTCGATCTTTATTTCTTAATAAGTATATATATCTCATTTGAAAAGCAATTTAATTTTTTCAATGCATTTGTTGCAAGGCAACAAAGAAAAAGTGCAGAGAACGCGAAAGGCACTAAGTACAATACGCGATCGGCCATGTCGAGGGAACTATGTCAGGTAATCAACGCGGATGCTGTGTACAGAACTTTCAATTAGCATAAACAGGTGAAGGATTGCCGGGCTGGCATCATCTCCAGCTCGCCAGCAGAAGTAAGGGTTGATACAAAGAGGAGGATAAAAAACAGGGCACTGGTTTTCGGAAGAAAGAGCTGAATGGACCGGCTGCGGCTTAATCTTCTCTTTATTATAACTGCTTGTAACCATATTATAACCTTTAACTACCAACCTGTACTCATTGCTCTCTTCTTAACGTAGAATTTGAATAGAACCATCTTGTTTTAATTAGTCTTGTCATTTAATGTTAGTGTTGCTGTAATATTTGTTACTGGTTTATTACCGACTTTCATCACACTTCTTAATACTTCAGGTATATTAATTTTATCTTCTCTGTAAAATTCTCTTTAATTGAATCATTTGTCTCTAATTCTTCTCTTTATTCAACACCTGTCAAAAGTTGGTCAATAAATTTGCTAATACTTCAAAAGTGTTGTAGAAGTAAGGCGCAGCTGTTAGCTAAACTAGTTAGTTGGAGCAAACAAGTACCAATAAAATTTCTTCTACTGCTGTTAAGCAGTATGCTTAGAGTAACTTACTTCAGATTTAGAGTTTAGAAGCAACTGTCATTAAGTGATTTTTCGTTTTATTCACGTTCTTTCCACAAGAGGTTTGACTAAAAAAAAGCTGCATAAAGACGACCTGTTTGCAAATTCTGCACTTTGTCATATAAAACTTGGCTTTTTCTCCAAAAATGTTTCGTCTCACGCGGTGACTGCGTGTAAACTTGGTTTTCATAGATGTGTTTTTTCATATTCGTTTTAAAAAACTGAAAGGTAATTCAGCAATAATCTATTGGTTTGAAGATGGTTTTGCAAATCTTATTTATTCCACTGAATAATAAACGTTTAGGAAACAACAAAAATACTTTTTTTCCTTTTTTATTATTCCAACTTTATCAGTTAGTTCTGTAATCGAACAAATGAACAAGGGCGAGAGCATGCATTTAATCTTGAATAATCTCCCGTTTTTGTGCCTATCTGAAGCAACTTGAAAAACTGACCTTTTTTATATTCTTCTTCAAATTTCTAAGCTTAGTTTAGTTTATCTTTATGGGAGACTACGAGCTGCTAGTGGGAAAGTCTTTCAACAGTTTTTATTTATATTTTCCGTCAGTTCTATAACTACCTTCTGATTTTAAAACATCAGAGTTCTGAATAACCAATGGCTCTATATCTTAAAAACTTTTTTCGTAAACAATGAAAGGTGTCACACCCTTTATAGCTTACTTCTGAAATAGGAAACCGTTTCTTGTGTGATTTTTATTGTTTTCTAAATGCTTCTACAGCAAAAACAGGATGCCAGAATATTCAATAGGTTAAATAAACTGAACGTCCGTTAGCAAGTTTCAAAAGATTAAATGTTTGATTAAAGAGCAGACAAAGCAAAGCACTTTACCAGTGCAAAATTGGCAGCAACATATTGGTTTTAAATATTCACACATATCCTTTCATACGGTCTATAAATTTGAGACTAGAAAGAGCGAAACATACCTAAACAAAAATTATTTTTAGAAGCAAAAATAAAATAATATAGAAGAAAATTTTAGATTATTTTTTCTAAGATTTAGACATCAATTTACAATCAAAAATGTACGTTTTATTTGCTTTTTTAATAAAACATTGACTAGAGTAATATCTGTCAATTCAAGTATGATCAATTAAAATTTAAGACCAAGGTTTCTTGTTGTTTATAGACAAACTTCTGAGCGCTTCTTTGAATAAGCTGTTTACTTACTTTTCTGTTCTTTTACAATTACATATAGTTATCTTATAAACTGTTTTTTTGAGTTAATAAAGTAAAATTTAAACTTTTTTTTGCAGACGAAAAGTTATGAGAATATTTTTTGGCTCTTTTCAACAGATAGCACTGTAATGATGTCGAGAAAAAAAAACAAAATAATTCTTTCGTTTTTCGTCTTCTATAAATTACTGCTGTTTCAGATAGAATACAGATTTTTTTGGCATCACTTCTTTCGTTTTTTTTTTTTTTTTCTTATAGCTGAGAAAAAGTAAATAGAATTGATGAGGCTATAAAACTTCTTTTTATAAACATTTTTATCGTTTTTTATTTCTTTGATATAAATGCATGAGTAACAGATGAGTAAAAAAGAATCGATTCTGTCACACAATTTTTTTTTTTTTTTTTTTTGATATAACTTTTATACTGCCAACATTGGCAAAGTTTACATTAAGTGAATCAATAAGAAACTGAAAAAATACTGCATTTATTTCAAAAAAAAAATATTCAGTTTCTCAGCAAAAAAAAAAAAAAAAAAAAAA